ATTGGTGACGTAGTCCTTGTTAAAGAAATTGACTTGAGGCGAGGTGAATGGAAGCTTGGACGCATACAGAAGATCAAGGCGCCACAAGGCTATATAAAGGCCGCGACAGTCATTTTACCGAATCATCAGTGCATTGAACGGCCGATCTCTTGGCTTTTTCCAGTGGAGTGCGCTTCTTTATAAGTAATTTCGAAATTCTTTTTACCTTCGTATCTCTTTTGCTTCCATTTACTGAAGTTGTTTGTTCATTTGATTAAGTTAAAAGGTTTTTAAATTTAAATTTGATATTATTTTAAGTTTTTTGTTTGTTTAATTACCCGCACAACGACAGAACTCCAATAATATGTCGTTGGGCGATCATAGTAAATATCTTGAAGTCTTTGCGAAGACAAGTGCTGGACCTGTGAGAGATCAGTCAGAACAGCATATGTTGAAGTGCATTTTTGAGGCTTATGCTATCTTATACAAAAGAACTGACTTGTCTGAAGCAGCAGAAGTGATCAATGTAAAAGCTGAAGAAGATGTTGTGGATCCAACAAATTTTTCAGTAGCATTACAAGAAATTATGGCTCAAACAAAAACAGGAGGTGATAAACTCAAAGATAGACATGCGACAGCAGCTATCAACAAGTGGTTAGCAGCAGTGCCAACTGGTCAAGACCCAATCATTGAGGAGCCACGACGCAGAGTAACAAGAAGTGTGTTTAGAGAAACAGAAACCGGAGCAGGGTCAAGTGAAACGAGGAGCAGAAGACAAACTCAAGCACCAGAGAGAACGGGAGCTTGTGTAGAAGAAGGGCCGACTGAGACAACAGGAGAGCAGTCGCAGGCAGCTGAACCGCAAATAACAGTTCACACGATTGACGAGGAGGTTGAGGAAGAGCAGCATATGATAGATAAGGAGCAAGCTGCAGATGCAAAGGCTTTAGAAGAAGATTTCGATAAAAAGATAAATGAAGACATTTGTCAAGATTTAGAAGAGCTTCTGAAAGAGCACGGTGTGTCAACGTTGTTTGGAA